CATATTTAAATAGAGTAAGAAAAATAGTTTAATCAGTAAATACTTTATACTAGATATACAAAAAAGCTATATCTTCACTGAGAAACAATAGTTTAATACAGTATATATAGATCAACTAATTGATGTAAATACCAAAGAAACATGAAACTGAAAAATATTACAACTCATAGAATACATATAAGGGACCAGTTTCAGAATAGTATCTATTAATAATCAAGATTATATAAGAAAAAGGAATAAAATAGTTTATAGATTTTGAAAGGTGAATGGACAAAATGGAAATCAAGATATTCCATAGTGAAATATAATTATACAAATAACAGAAGTTGAGGATTGTTATAGGAAACAAAAAAAATTAAGTTATTTGGGAAAATCTAATAAGAAAAAATACAATAAATAATATAGAAATAGAACACTTCAACTGTTTGGTAGCTAAAGAATATCAACAAGTAACAAGTCCAATAAAATATCTTGAGTGCTAAAAAATATTAAGAAAAATAATTATTATGTAATAACAGAAAAAAAAAATAAGATCTGTGGATCAATAGCACAATAGGTATGCTTCCAGGTCACTATTTACAAGTTACTAGTTCAATTCCACTTCAGAACAGTATTTGTAAAAATAGATTACATTATACAAGATGCATGCCCAATACCGCATGCATACTTGTATACAAGAAAATCTATAAAATCCACTATCTAACCATGGTATAACAAATTAGGTCATGTAGATTCTGGTCAATTTTAGTATCAGGAAAAGGATCCCATGATATCGTACTGCTTGGAATATGTAAAGATCTCAAAGAAAATCAAAAAAGACAATAATCGATTTAGGACTCTATCAGTTTTATATGAAAATTCACCTCTTCTCAAAAAACTATCTTCATGGGAGGCTGGGAAATTTTGGTCACTACTACTAGTCAAAAATTTGCAAAGAGCCGGCCACATATTGAGAGACATATGTATTACTGTTACCAATGGCTACTAGAGAATATGGCCCATAGGCACTGGAAGCTTGCTGAAGTACAATAGGTATGATGAAAACTGTAGAAATAGATACATTTGGAAGAGACCTATGGTCTCATATAATGACCAAGGAAAATCTCTATAGGCTATATTTGAAGAGTAGTTAAGAATGGTCACTGAAAGTCTCAAGTCATCAATATAGCTCACCAATGGCTACCGAAAGATCTACCTAGAACCGTATAAAGATTAAAGACATCAATGGATAACCAGCCTCTAAGGACTAAGTATGGCAAATATGTATTATAATTTGAATACATCCCATTAAAGACAAATCCCATGATGTAAATATATACCAAAACTAGTTCTTTTATAAAGAAAATAATAATAAGAAGTCACCTGGTGGATTCCTGAAACATCAAGCAGCCCAGATATAGCAAGGCAACTGATAAAGATGGTATCCTTAATAGGTAAAATCAGATAGCATTTAATTGGGTAGAATAGGATAATATAGACTAGTAGTTATAAGAATTGTTCTTGTAAAACAAACTATATATTTTATAATATCTGATTAATAAAAGCCCAGTCAGTATGACAATTAAAAAAAAAAAAAAAAGGAATAGAATATATATAGTTCTATATCTCAATACTAGAAAATCCATTAGAAGAGTTCAGGTACTAAAGATTTCAAGAAGCAAGACAACTATAAAAAAAGAAATAATTAAGGTGGTAAAAGAGAATCAAAAATAGATTCAAGTTGCTAAAGTAGAAAATATAAAAATAGAAAGCTGTGAAGAAAAATATAAAAAGAGATGCATATCAGTTTTACTTGATAAAAATACTTTAGCAAAATCAGAATTCAAATGAAATAATAATCTTCTATTTCAATAAATCATTATTGATCATGGAAGTAAAGAAATAAAAATAGAAGCAACATGGATTCAAATAAAAGAAATAAAAAGAGAAAGCAAATTTTATATAGGGATAGAAAACTAGCTATTATAAATAAGAACAAAATTGATAACAATAGTTATTATATTACTAGTTGTTCCTATTAAAAGCAAAGTCAAAATCTATATGAACAGTTAAGCCTATATTTCCAAATAAAAGAAACTGAAGAAAAAAGATCTCAGAAAGAAATATAAAAGGTGGTTAAAAGAAAAAAACTGGTATCTATAAATGTAAATACTAGATCTTATGAAAAAAAAATACTTGAATCTAGAGCTGATCAAAGTTAAGACCACTTTGGTGATAAATATAATGAAAAAGCAGATATCATAATCAAAAAAACCCTTCAATTTCTTATAATAGAATAGAAGGATCTTATATCATCCAAAATTATTATAGAAATTAAATAGCAAAGTATAATACTGGATATTCTAATAAGACAATTTATCAAAAAAGTAACTGATAAGATAAAAGTCTATCAATAGACACAATAGAATAGAACTCAGGAAAAATAGAACTAGCAAATATAAGATCAGTATAAATTTACATTGAACTATATGTGAAATAAAATAAAAGATGAACATATATTAATATTTCCTTCAAGGATTTTTACAAAAAAAGCTTTCTTGTGAAATAATAAGTTATTGATTCTAACAATATTAGCAATAAGAAGATATGTATAGAGGGCAACAAAGATGCAAAAATGGTGAACCACTTATTAAAATACTTAATATATAAAAAGAAATTGCAAAAAGCATAAATGAAAGAATTAAAAGAGGTATAAAAAAAATTTAAAAAATTTTTTTCAAAAAAGAAAAAGACATATAGTTAATTATAAAAAATAGAAAAAAAAAAAGAAAACTAAACAAGATTATCTTTAAATTTATAAAAGAATTTTTCAAAAGTAATTATAGAATATTAAGCTTTTATATAAGACTTATGAGAAGTGACTGGCTTATTGCAATATTTGATTTCAAATATTGTAATAAAAGAATAGAACAAAAAGTTTGTAAATGGATTATAAAAATACAGAAAAAAGATTTATAATCACATTCAGAAGAAGATCTGAAATAAAAGATATACAAAAGTGATTGAATGGGAACAGTCACAAGAAATCAATAGAAAGTATAAAGCAAAAAGATTAGATCTAAAAGTTTAAAAGATCAAGATCAAGAAACTATTCAATTTCTAAAGAAGAAAAATTGAATAACAAAAATTTAAAACAGATCTTAACAAAATAAATTGAATCAAAATAAATTGATTAGGTTTTACATAATCTTTATCAAAGCCTTGTAAAGTGATTAGTAGTAATAATCTATAAACAATAATATTAATAGTTAGAAGGGTATTCACCTGAATTATTAGTAAAGTGATAAATTACTTCTAAAGTTGTACTTAGAGTAACAATAGTTAAAATATAGTAAGTGAGTTAATTAGAGATTTAGCTTTAGTGTTACATTGATATGTAAAGTCTATAAAATGTTTAATAGCAAATATAACTAACCTGATAGAAAAAAAAAAAACAAAAAAAAAAAATAATAAAAAACTCTTTTCACTGATCCTTTGATCACACATAAAAAAAATGTTCACAAGAAGTTTCTATACTTCTTTGCTAATAAAGTTTTAATACTTTCTTTAAAACAACTTAAAGTATAACTTCAAGAGTCACTTCTATCCTTTTCCTTTTGTTTACAAACCTTTTTATTCAAAAACTTGATTTCTAGTAACCAGGAAAAATTAAGTAATATCTTTGATATTAACAGCAAGAAGGTTCACAAAAGAAAAAGAACTAACTGTAAAATACTTGAAGGACTATCTAACCTTTGAAACAAGAGATATATGAAGGTTTTTGATAACAGAAAGGTTTATTTTTCCCCTTCCAGTCACTTATGGGTCTATTAGAGCTATTGCTTTTATAGTTTTTGAAGAAATTTTATTTAACTCAGTTTGATCCAGAATTTTGGGTAGCACAAATTCTCACTAAAAATAATTGGCTAACATAAAACATGTTAGTTTTTGAAATATAAACAAACTTCTATTGATCATATTCACATGTTCTAATGATATTATTGATAATTGAAAAAAAGGTTTCAAAAATATTTGTCTTCAAAAGCTCAAATCCCTTAATGAAAACTTTCATGACACCAAAAAACCAATTGATAGGTAATATGGATTGCAAACTCCCATCTTTTACCTAAGTTCCTCAAGTGGTGACAAAGTTTTATTGAGGTTTAAATGTTTTTTTGAGATATTTCAATTTAATACTTACTTAAATGAAAGATTAATTGGATTGAATCGTCCAATGTCACAAGTATAAAAAAGAAGATTTTTCCTGAGATTCAAGTAAAGCAAGAATCAGGCAGATTCTTTTTAAGAAGAGATTGTTTTTATTTTTGAAATTTTTTTGATAAATCTTGAATTGTCATCTTTTCCAATCATTTTTTTTCTTTTTCTTTTTAACTTGCAATTTGTTGATTTTCAAACAATCAACAATAACAAATTGTTGACAATGATCCTGATAGATAGAGGTTATTACCAATCTATTGGGAAAGTATAATATTGTTTTCAAAATCTGACTTAGAGTACTTTTGTATAAAAATGAGTTAGTCACTTTGTGAAAATCTATAATATATTATAGATTTACTTCAATTTTTTAATAAAGACAAACCATTGTGACATGATTATGGGTTAAAAAAAAAAAATTTTCCATGATAATTTTTTTTAAAATAGAATATTTTATTACTAGTTTTTTTAAAAAATTTTTTGCTTGTCATTAATAATAATATTTATCTGATTCTTTTAATCAAAAAGTTTATAAACAAGAAGAAATAAATTATTTTAAAAAATATTTTAATCAAAAGATCAAAAATCTTTTAAAATAAATATTTTTTTATAAAAATTAGTAGAAAGAATTAATAGAATGAAAAAACAGATCTAAATCTAACTTTAGAATACTTGAAATTTTTTATTTATTTCAATCAATTCTGACTAGATAAAACAAGCTTTTAATTATACTGTATACGCATGAGTCATAAGTTGATCTGTTTGAAAGAGAACACTGCTGGGATTATTTTTAGTAAATTTATACGATGAGTCACGTCAATCCCGCGAAAAAGTCGCAAAAAGAAATGACAAAGGCAGAACGTCGTGCCTTACAAGAACGTCAAAGGGCTGAAAAGGCAGCAAGAACTGGTGGTGCAACTTCAAAGAAGCCAGTCCAAGGATCTGCCCCGAGTGTGAATGTAGTGCCTACTTCTGAAATTCCAAGTACACCAAGTGCAAACTCTGAAATGGGCGGGGTTGTTAAAAGCATTGACACTAAACAGAAGGATACTCAAAGAAAAGGAAGTGACAACAAGCAAGTTGCACTTTTTTCCCATTTAGATATTCCTAAAGGTGCTAATACGAACACAGCTCCTAAAGAAATTCATCCTGCAGCTTTGGTTCTAGGGTTGCAATTTTCGGAATTTAAGATATGTGGAGCAAATGCGCGTTGCATCGCCACATTGACCGCTTTTCAAAAGGTAAAATTGATTAATATATGTTTTGATTCTCAAATGCCTAATCGATTGTATTACAGGTGATTCAAGATTATAAAACACCTGATGGAACGACTTTGTCTAGGCATTTGCCGACTTATCTGTCTCCCCAAATCACTTACCTGGTAAACTCAAGACCGATGTCAGTAGGGATGGGGAATGCAATTCGCCACCTCAAATTGGAAATATCTACGATAGATATTGAAATGTCGGAAGATGAGGTATGATCTTGAGGAGTACTTTAATGCTTAAATATTTTTTCGCGTTGATTAACTGACTAAAGTTTAAATAGGCGAAACAAGTATTGTGTGAAAAAATTGACAATTTTATACGTGATCGTATTACGGTTGCTGACAGGGTCATTGTTGAATATGGACTACAAAAGATCCAAGACGGGGACGTAATATTAACATATGCTAGGTTAGACTCGATCCAAGGATCACGCATGTTCTGTTCATGAGCAACAGAACAAATGACTTTGAAAATCTTCAAATTATAGGTCATCTGTTGTACAAGCCTTATTGTTAGAGGCACACGCAAAAGGAATAAAGTTTCAAGTTATTGTTGTCGATTCGCGTCCCAGACTTGAAGGTATCTAATGATTGAACTGTTCCCATATTTTCCAACAAACTAACACACCCATTTATCCAAACAGGAAAAAAGCTTCTGAAATATCTTGTGGGCGCGGGAATAGATTGTACATATACCTTTCTTCATGCGCTTGGATTTGCGTTAAAGGATGTATCAAAAGTTTTCTTGGGTGCTCATGCTTTTATGTCAAATGGCGCGCTTTATTCTCGTGTTGGTACTGCATTGGTGGCAATGATGGCAAAAGAAAAAAATATACCCGTCATTGTTTGCTGTGAAACTTATAAATTTACAGATAAGGTTCAATTAGATTCTTTTGTAATGAATGAACAAGGTAAGGTATTGTATGCATTACTGTTTATGCCTAATCATGAAAGTAGAGTATTTACTCGAGGATTTTTTAACAAGGAAATCCTGATGAAATTGTTAATATTTCTACAACACCGTCACCTAAACCTGGATTATTGTCCGGATGGTTGCAAAAACCTGATTTGAAACTATTAAATTTACTATACGACCTGACACCTTCAAAGTATATCACAACTGTAATTACCGAAGTGGGAATGATTCCGTGTACTAGCGTGCCTGTGGTATGTTTTAATCTTCTTTATTTAGTTAATATTGTTACCATAATTTACGAGATTCCATTTTTTTTTTTTTAATTTTTACTTCAGATATTAAGAGAATATAAGTGAGTTTATACTGTATATACGTCTATTTAGTAAAATTTTGCATTTTTACATATTAATTTTATTATTTTTTTAAAAAAATTAGATCGATGGTTTAATTTAGTCTCTTGATATTTTTCGTAGGTTTTATTGATAAATCTTTACAAAGTATATTTCTTGATTTTTTGATTTTGTCATGTCTGAAAATTTCTTGAGCTCATTTTCATTCCATCACCTTTTTTGCATCTTGTGTTTCAATTCTTTTCTTTACATAGTTAAGTATTATTTTTGTATCTTTAAGATATATATTTTTTACTTCTAAATTAATTTTTATATCATGCCCTAACAGTTCTTTGTTTTTTTTTATCAAATAATTTTTTATTAATTCTATATAAAAGTCTAATATTATATACGTTGACTAGTTTTTAAAGATTTAATAGATTGATTTGAATATTTATTTATCTATTTTTTTTTTTTTTTTCTATTATTTGACTTTAGCTCTTTTTTTTTGCAATATTAATTTTGATTTTTTATTATATATTTTTTATAGTACAGTTAATATTTTATTTTATATTTAATAGTTTTTTCTAGTTTTTTGCAAGTTATATATTCTATTTATTTATAAAAATCTGGTTTTTTATTGTTAATTTTAATAGAATAAATAGTTTATTATTAATTAACTTGATTAAAAAACTTGTTTTCTATAAATTTTTAATAAAGATTATATATCTATATTAATTATTTCTAAATTGTATTTTATAAATAGTATTAATAGAAATAAACTTTTTTTGCTAATTCTCAATTTTTTTAAAAAATATTCTTTTTTGATAATTTTTTGAAAAAAAGAAAAACAAATCAAAAAAAATAAGAGAAACTATTCTTACAACCAAACAACTTACAAAAAACAAGTTCAAGAACTCTTTATAGAGTGTAAAAGAAGTAAGTTTTACAAAATTATCAATTTCTACTATATAAATTTTTTCTTTTGGAAAAATAAAAACAAAAAGAAAAACTAAATTACAAAAAACTTTTGGAAGCTCAACATCAATCTTATAAAGTTCTTAGCTAAATCAGTACAAATTAATACTTTTCTAAATATCAAGAGAAACTTTAAAAGTAATAACTCAAACTAATAAATCAATTTAAATTTAAATACTTATAAAATCTAAAGAAACGTTCAAGTTTTATTGACTACATAGTAAAGAAACATATACAGTATATCATAACAACAATATTAAAATAATACTATGTTATACAAATATAGACATGTATAATTTTTACAATAAGTTTAAAAAATATGTCAAATAAATAATATTAATATATTTTTTACATATTTATACAAACCAATTATTAATAAAAAAAAAACTTTTTCCGTTGATCCTCTGACTACATATAAAAAAGATGTTCACAAAAAGTTTTTATACTTCTTTGCTAATAAAGTCTTAATACTTTCCTTAAAACAACTTGAAATATGACTTCAAGAGT